ACTATTTGATTCTTTTTTAACAAAACAATACTTTTGTATGGAGGATTTAAATCCTTTTTAAATTTTTTAGGATCAATAGAAAAAGTAACTTTTGGTTATAAAGCCTTGTTTAATTTAGTTTTTAGAGTTATAACATCTTTTTGTCAAATATGACAAGTTTCACAACCAAAACAAGAATCATACTCATCATCATTTTTATCTTTTTGAATATCTAACATAGACTGCTTAAGAGCTTCCATAATTTTCTCAGTTTCTAAAACTTTGGCTTCTATGTTTGAAAAAATTATTTTGTACGATTTTGTACGACTTTGACTTCACCATGTAGATTTTTAAAAGCAACTTGCAATTTGGAATAAGACATATATCAATAGGTTCATGTTTAGAGTGACCTACTTTCATTTTCTTTTGATGGGGCATGAGGCAAATGTTTGTTATAGGCTTGCTAACCTTCTCTTCCTTATAATAAGTCGAGAGACAAAGATTTGTCATTTCATCATCATCACTTGATTTATACTCACTTGAGAATTCATCATCACTTTCCCAAGTAACATATGCTTTTATAGGCTTGCTAGAATTCTTGTATTAAACCTTTTCTTTATTTTTCTTAATAAATGGATAATCCGGTTTGTAGTGACCGACATTTCCATAATTATAGCATGAACTCTTTGACTTTTCTTTCTTATTATCTTCTCTCTGTTAGGAATTCTATTGTCTTCTATAATTGATGAGACCTTTGTCGGAGTTCTTCACTCCATTCTTATTGATATTCCTATTGTATCTTCTCACAAACAACCTAATGTCTTCATTATCTAAAAAATCACCATCACTAGATCCACTATCATCTTGCTCTTTAATTAAGGACTTAGAGCTTGAAGTCACAAGAGCAATTGACTTCTTGTCTATCTCTTTTTATTTGTTATTTTATTTCTTAACCTTATTCTCATTATTATCTAAGCAAATTAGCTCTTGCTCGTGTTCTTTAAGCTTTCCAAACAAAGCGGTAGTATCCAATGTCGATAGATCATTAGCTTCCTTGATTGCGGTAACCTTTGGTTGATATTCCCTATTAAGACTTCTCAACACTTTGTTAGTAGCAATTTCATAGGAAACAAGCTTACCAAGTGTATTCAAACTGCTTACAAGATGAGTGGACCTTTTTTGCATATATGCAATGGTTTCACCATGCTTCATATGAAAGAGTTCAAATTCTTGATTCAAAGTATTGATTCTAGATAGTTTGACTTTATTAGTTCCCTCATGGGAAACTTGCAATGTATTCCACATAGCTTTAGCAATTGTGAAATGGGAAACATGGTAATATTCACCAACTCCTAGAGAGGATATGAGAATATTTCTTGCTTTCCAATCATATGACCACTTTTTCTCATCTTCCCCGTCCCATTGTGCTTCCGGTTTAGGTACAACAATGATGACCTCATGGGTTATAGTAATTTCAAAAGGACCATTTTGGATGGTGCTCCATACTTTCCTATCCATGGAATTAAGATAGATATGCATACAATCTTTCCAATAACCATAGTGTTCACCATTGAAAATAGGAGTTTTATTATACGCCCCTTTTGGTTCAGAATCCATTATCTATGAACTAATTTAGAATCACTAGATGAACCGATGCTCATGATACCACGTGTTAGACGATAGGCTACAATCTAGAGGGGGTGAATAGATCACAAATTAAACTTTCTAATTAAAATTATATTTATAAAGGTTTTAACTATGGCACACAGAAACAAACTTGGATCATAATCATCTATCTAAACTGTTATCAAAAAGACCATAGTGCATAAAAGAAGAAGAAAAAAAAAACGAGAAATCACACAATAAAAACAGAATGAAAGCAAGATAAAAACACAATGTACACACCTTACATCAACAAAGATTCATCACAAACCCAAACTTACATTGTTGTTTGTCCTCAATGAACTCGCCTGTACACCAAAACATTTCAAAAAAAATAACATGCTTGCCCTTACCAATGATATCACCTTTCTAATACTTATAATCATTACTTCCGTTCTCTACTTCGATCAAGATAATTCCAAAAAGTTCTTCCAATATTAACATGTACCAAACCTATATCTTATCTCCCCTTAATTTTCACTCGAATTGAAAGGGTGATGGCACAATCAACATAGAAAAACATTTTATGATAAGTTTGCAAAGTTTAAATTTTTTGACAAAAGTCATATATGAATACACACTACTGGGGTCTTTTAAGGTTGTAATGAGGCTTATGTTGGGGTAGGATAATTTTGGATATTAGGCTTAAACCTCAAAGTTAGGTACCTGTTTTTTCTTATGTTACTATGTTCCTTTCATAACCACTATTTACCTGATCAACAAGTACTGAAGAAAAGGGAAGCCAACTAAATTATACTTAATTCTCATATACCTCAACAAGTAAGGTTTGAACTAAATGATTCATTGTTCACTTTTTTCTTCTTATAATAGTACCCATACAATTGTGTTTTCTTGAATTTGTTGGTTTTTGATTTAGTCTATATGTCTGATGAGTACACACTAAGGCACTTGTTTGCGGAAACTTTGAGCCTTTTTAAAGTCACCCTAGTATGAAATGCTATATCAATTGTTAAGACCTTTGAGCCTTGGCCTTTTCTTCAGTGACATAGCCTATTATGTAGTCCGAAAGATCAAACATTTCCACTCTCTTTGAAGTTAGGTTGGAAGTTTAGTTTCCTTATTTAATGTAAAAGCATAAGTTTGGGTTTCTTTTAGAAGTTAGCAACATTTACGTTTGGGGTTGGGGTACTAGAGAAAATAGTTAATAAAAAATATAGAAAATAAAAAGTTAAAATGATTTCTTAAAACAAATAATGAAAAAGGTTGACATGAGTCAAAGAGGAATCATAAGACATCTTTCTCCAACCAAAGAATCCCATCAACATTATAGCGGGCAAAACAATGTCAATTGGTCCAGTTTTCCACCATGAAGAAAGAGATATAAGAGAATAAGAGCAACAACAATATTACCATCGAGAAGTGCAACAACCATTTGAAGCACCACCTCAACAATAATACAACTCTCTCGACTTCCTCCAACAACATTATCAGATATTATAGGAACATGCTTTAGGAACTACAAGTTGGGAAACATACCTTGTAACCAACTTATATAAAAAAATGTCCAATGGCTCCTGCATCAACCACGGTCTTGATATTTTCAATTATTAATTGCCCCACGTTAACAGATTCCTGGTTCATAAGTGCCAAAAAAACCAAAAACTCCCATAAGAATAAACTCATAAGTGTTAGAAACAACTTCTAAAGTAAAAATAAAAAATGAAGCCCAGGCCTTTTGTACTGGGCCTAATCTCTAACACACGGAGAAACCACACATACAAATTTTTTCATATCGTCAAATGTGAGCTGACTCTAACCCTCAATAAACTCTAATCCTCTAACAACCCTAATCCACTTGGGGTTGTTACACTCATTGTATTTTTATCAATACATTATATAATTAAAAATATTTAATTTTAATTACAATTTCTTTTGAATTCAATCATGTTCGTATTGGATTAAGAAATGATTGATATGTTGATGAGGAACATACTTTCAATGCAACCGAGGTGAATCTTCGGTGATGGAAAATGTACCTCCAAAAAAGGTTAGGATTTTAATGCTCAAGTTAATAATAGATTGAGGTGAAATTTTGTTATTTTTTTGGTCATGTAGAATTTTAACGCTCAAGTTAGTAATAGATTGAGATGAAACCTTGGTTATTTTTTTGGGTCATTTAGTCTAGTGGTTGGAGTTTACCTTTTAAAGATAAAGAAGTAGGATGTCGCAGGTTCGAACCCACTATCATGCATCTAATGTCCCTAACAGCTACCAACTGAGTTGACGAGTTGAATGCTACCTAGGTCATTGCCACACTTATATATGTGAAATAAATTAGATAACAAATATATATATATATATATATATATATATATATATATATATATATATATATATATATATATATATATATATATATATATATATATATATATATATATATATATATATATATATATATATATATATATATATATATATATATATATATATATATATATATATATATATATATATATATATATATATATATATATATATATATATATATATATATATATATATATATATATATATATATATATATATATATATATATATATATATATATATATATATATATATATATATATATATATATATACTACAAATTCAAGATATAGGTAATACAAATTTAAATTTAATAATCAATTTTTAAGTCATTAATTTTTTTATAATGTTTTTAAATTATACTACCTTTGGTCCTATTTATCAAAAAAGTTATTTTTTTAGATACATTGCATAATTAATGTATTTTGATATTATATGAACTAAATACATTATTCATTCAATAAATATAAAAAAAAATTTATAAATGTGACCGGTATAACTTCTATTAGAAATATATAAAATGTATGTAACCAAAAAAAATATATATAAAATGTAAAGTAACTGAAAAAACCACAAATACCCTATTGATTTCACTTTAAAAAATTTCTGATTCCAAGGATACAAGTAACTTTTTCAACCAATGATTCAATATTATTCATTGAGTATTTAATGTTGCTTAGGTGTCACTCATGAATTTTTCCATTTTGATTTTGATTTTATTTTATAATGATTTTAATCTCTAATTAAATATAGAAGTGTCTATTAAACTTCAAAGCAACATATGAAAACCTGGAAAAACCAAAATCATTTACTTGAACAATGGAAAATCTCACTACTTCCCATATTCCTCATCAATTTATAACAAATGCATTATTAATCTGAGCATATAACACAGAAGTCACATTGAGATTGAGAATTTTTCCTCTCTATTTCTTCTTCAAAATATCATCAAACCACCATTTCACAACTATTTGTTTCACCACCACGATTTCCATTTTTCTGTTTTTTGACCGCAACCACAAACCACCATGCGAAAACACGAAACCCTACCGATTCAACAACCAACTCCGACAGCGCAGTAGTTGCAAACCACCTCTTAATCTGCTCCGGCGAGACTTCCATTTGAAACTCAAATGTCATCACCGAAAATTTGCATTTGTTTCCATTATAGCTACCACCATAATCGTTTCTGGTCACCCATTTGATTTTCGTTTTATTTTTTAGAAATTTTTGAAATCGATTTGTTTGTTTATTATTTATTGAGACTGTTTTTGTTGTGTTAAGATGAATATACTAGAATTTGTGATTTATTGTTCGTTTTGATAGGTTTAGGTAATTCATTGTGTTATTGTTAGGTTAGGGTTTAATTTTCTCAATGGAAGGGGTTTTGGTTTATTTGAATTAGGATTTGCAAAATTGATATTGCTAATGGATTCTGATTACAGAATTACTTATTTCATGGAATGGTTATTGGATTATTCTATTTTGCAAAAAATGATATTGTTGTTGGATTCTGATTACAGAATAACTTCATTTTGATTTCTTCCATTTGAATCACAATTTACGATTCGATCTTTCCTTTTCTCGATTCGTTGCTGCAATCTTCATATTGTGATTTCGATTTTGTTTTTCATTTCGTTTTTCATTTCATTTTTAGGGTAAATTGATTTTCATTTGTTAATGAATTAAATACGCAGACAGATCTCTAGAGTGTTGGAGCAATCTTATATCTGTTTGTTACAGGGAAAACATATTTTACTGGAAATAATCAAATCCAGGTATTTGAAGCAATTAAGTTTTCTTCTTCTTCTTTATTACAGAATATCATGAAATCAACAAAATTGCATTTTCCATCTAATAGTCAAGGTTTATGTTCCGAGTGCATAGATTTTTGCCAAAATTTACTATGTTATAATCCATATATATTTTGATTTTCTAATAGATTGATGTTTAAGACATAAATGAAGTGTGAAAGTTTGCTTTGTTTTGGTAGTAACCATAAGTTTGGCAATATACGAAGAAATTGGGCAACTTATTTTTACTCGATGTTAGGCTTTTAGATAACTCGAGTCATCCTCTTGCTAACCATGCTAACGAGAATAAAGAAACATTTTGATGTTTTCTCATTATCCTAATGGAAATTCAATAGAAGGATGAAATTAAGCTCAATGGTGGAACTGATCCATGGAAAACACGATCACTAGCTGTCAATTTTAAGAAACAAGTTCAAAAGGTGCATTGCTGAAATATTTTTGTTGTTATTTTTGTATGATGTCACTTGGAAACCCTAACGTGTTTGGTAAAGTTAATTAGAAACATGTGTTTTTGGAGAAACCAAAAGTTGGGGATAATGGCATTAGTAAGTTAATTGTAACAGTGGTCATTAAGTGAAGAATAAAAACAGGCATGCAATCATTTTTTTTCATTAACTCTAACGTATTTGAACAACCAAAAAAAGTTATGTGCTTTCTAACTGGGTGTCTCTAATATTTTGCATGTTTATGTTTTTGTGTAGATTCTAAATAATGTTTTAAAAACCACTCATTATGTTTTTGCAGAGCATGTGAAGCATGGCTTAAAGAGAAGGGGATTATCAATGAGAAGCTACGACTTCTTCATGCCGAAGCATCGGGAAGCAAGGAAGAAAAATGCCAAGGGAAAGAAATCGTCAGCAACACTGAAGTTGTAGATCTGACTGTAGAAAAGTCAGGTGAAGATGTTAAAGGCATCGACAATGTTGTGCAGTTGAGAGGAAGGTACATATAATGTTGTTTAAAAGACACGCGTGTAATAAAAATATAGAAAAAACATGTACAAATATGTTTATGGTGTAAATGATTATTAATGACTGATATTGGATGTGTTTGGTGTATAAAATTGTCAATTAATACTTTTAATATTCATTTGTAGATCCTGTGAGGCATGGTTGAAAGAGAAAGAGTCCATTGATCAAAAGCTTCGTGCTATAGGGAAACATCAAAGGGAGTGGTATAAAGTCAGAAGGGGAAAGTAATAGCCAAAGTGTCTTTTTTCGTAGAACCTATTGATCTCAGTGGAGGGAAGATGCGTGGAGCTTCTAAGGTTGATGACAGAGTTTCCATGAAAACAGGAAGGTAATTAAAAGTTTATTTAAAATAATTTTGCATGCAAGAATGTGTGTGTTTGAAAATAGTAAGTCAGAAAGCATGTGATGGTAATAGTAGGTTAAGAATTAATAGTATTGAAAATATACAACATGTTGTATTTTATAAAAAGTAAATATAGATTTACACGGACAATATTGATGTAAATTGTTATATGTGTTGCATGTATATTGGATACATTAACAAATGTGATTCCATGTTGATTATGGTCTATTTATGGATGTCATTTGCATGTAAAAGTATGTATACATTTTGTCTAAAAGTTTTGCTTATGTATTATTGATGTGTAAGTGTAAAAAATGGATTAATTGCTGAAATTGATATGTTGATGTGTAAGTTTATTTTTCTGCAAATGTAGGGCTATTGATTTCACAGAAACAGAAGAAGGAAATAATAATGGGACTGATGAAATAAATAGGACAAATCTCCAAGTTTCGACGTTTAATGTCGAAGGCAATGTTCGTTTAATGTCGAAGACGGTGAAAATGACTCTGACGATGAATTCTATTAGGAGAGGCACATTAGTTTTGAATACAAAGTTATGAAAAATGTGATGCCATGTTTCAATAATATAGTATTTCAAATTGTTGTAGTATAGGATATTAAAAAATATGTGGCTTTGCATGTATTTAGTAACTCCATGTATTATATATCATTAGCAGCTTTATAAAAGATAGTAGGTGAATTTAAAAATAGGGAAACATTTTTAAAAACTAGTGTATGTTTATGTATACAAAAATTTTAAAAGTCAACAACTACAAACTTTTGCTTTGTTGTTCTCTATGTTGGTTGTTTTTGTTCCTATAATTTATAGTCAGTGTTGTACTCTAATTTTGACATAAGATACCACCTCATATGCATCATTACATTTCTAACAAAATACAAAAAAAATAGCTCATGTTTTCTCTTTATGCAAACAGGGTTTTGAATTAAGAAATCTCCATCAATACAAGTCTGGATCAAATTAAGGTTTTGATTAAAGTGGATTATTAACTTCTGGCTAAGTGCATGACCTAATAGCATGAGGCATGATTCAAAGAACTCAAATACAACATCTTGACCTAATTACATGGCTCAGTACATTCTCAAAGATACAATTGACGGATGGTGAAGGAATTGGAATCAATTGATGAAAAGTCAATTGTCACACCAAAGTCAAACTTTGACTTTTTGGTCAACTTTGAACTTCAACGATCAAGGGTCAGCAAAACATTAAAAAAAATTAACTTGTGCATCAAGAATCAAGAAAGTCAACAAAAGTCAAAGGTTGAAGATTTTGGACACTTAAAAATTTTGAAGTGTTTTGTACTAAAAAAGCCCTAACTTCGTGGACAAATTTCACCAAGATGCAAGTTGATTCAAGGAAAACTTTCAACATGAAAGTGGCAGAGCATGATTTATACTACAAATTTTTCAATGAGGGTTGATCTCCAAAAAACGCATAGATTTGTACATATGAATTGTTGAGTTAGCATATCAAAATTGTCAAAATCTGAAACACTTAGAGAAAATTTTCCAGCATTTTAACATTGTTAAGTAGTTGACTTTATGGCCATTTTTATCCAAGATCCCAATTGATTTAAGGAAAGTGTTTAACATGAGAGTTGTAGATAATGTCCAAGATTTCCAAAAAGTCCAGGAGCATGAATTTATCATACTTGAGCAAGGAGTTTCAAATTTATGAAGATGTGTGATTAAGGTTGCATTACAAGTCATTTTTGTGATAACCAAAAGACCAAATCTCCAAGATATACTACATAATCTTGACTTTTAGCCCATATTACCTCTAAACCTATCCAAGATCAAGAGATTACACAAGCCTTCAAGCCTTTACCCAAGATATACAAGTCATTGCCCAATTAACTTGCCATTTAGGTAAAAAGTTATCATTGCCATTCTTGAAAAGTAAACTTTTTGTGCAAAGCTTGTCTTGAGCCCATGCCTCTACTTGTTGCTGATTACACTCCACCTTAAATCAAGGAAAACAAGGTCACTTCACCTTTTTACTATGCCTTGAAACCATGGAAGTTCACATAACTTGATATTTACTTTCCAACCAAACCATAACTTGATAACTTGAGCATTTGTTCATCTCATTAACTCTGATTTCTCTCTATAAATAAAGAGTTCATTTACACTTCATGAAAAAAATAACCAATTCATATCTCTAAAACACCGTCTCTCTCAAACACCAAAATTTTCCCAAAACCCCCCATTTTGCAAGTTTTCATACCATAAACACTAAACTCTCAATCCTCGCAAGTTATTTGCAAACAAACCATCCAAATACCTTCCATACATCATATAAACTATAACTTAAGTTTTATTATATAACCATCCACTTCATACCTCCATTTCTCACTTTTTGAGTTTGCAGTTTGAGTTGGTTAGAAAGTTTGAGCTTGTTTTAAAACAGAGTAAGCACATTAACAACTTCATTGAGATCCAAGAAAGCTAAAAGGATCAACATTTTGTTACTGTAATCATATTTAAATGGGTAACAGACTCACTTCGTTTGGTAAATTTTTATTAACTTTGAACTCATAGTTTAAGCTAACATTTGCACTCATTCTTGATACATTTATGTTCATGTGATTGGTGTAATATGAAGTCCTATGAAAATAGGCATTGTTTGAGTTTGTATGTTATTTGATTCAACTTTGAAAAAATATTAGACCTTATGGCATTATCAAAAATTCATGAGCTACAATCCGTATTGATTTATGTTGTTTACATTTTTTAAATCCTTGTGAAAAAGTAAGCAACTTTGATCTTTACACTTTTGCATTTGATTGAGAAATGAATGAGTTGCCATTTTTGGAAGATGAAAGTTGAAGATGATGTCTTTTAAAACCATAAAAATCAGAGATTTCGTGGAGGAAATCAATTTCTTGAAACAGGGGAATCGATTTCCATAACTATTTTTTTTACCTACAACAAAGGGGAAATCGATTTTCCCATATCAGGGAATCGATCTCCTCAACAAAATTTTGTTTTCTAGCACTTCTGTTTTAGGCTTGCAGCAAAGAGGAAATTTATTTCCCCATTTTAGGGAATCGATTTCCTGATAAATTTCCAAAAATATTTTCTTTTCATTGCTTTTTTGGCCACTTGATTCCAACACGTTTCTTCAACTTTCAACTTGATTTTAGATGAGCAAATCAACTCCTTTTAGATTTATTTTTGCATGCTACTTGGTTTATGTGTGTACTTTGATAATATTTGAAAAATATCAAAAATATATTTTATTTTATTTATTTTATTAAAAATCCAAAAAATATGTCTTTTATACTTTCTTTTAATATTTTCTCTTGTTTCGTGGTTGTTTTCTTGATTATTTCTTGATGATTAATCCTACCATGTCATATTTTGATCCTTGCTATATAATATGATGTTTGTGTATGTTTATTGCTTCACCTAATTAGTACTTGTGTCAAAAATATAAGGAAATGGATAATTTTGTTGACTTTATAAGTCATGTGCATATGCATTACCTTTTGTATAAAATCCCTTGTAAATATTCACTCTATGTATTCTCATATACTCTAAGAACCATTTAACCCCAAAAATCATTTCCAAACTCTCACCACTTTCATATAAAAACCTTGACTTTGTGTCATTACATTTTTAAACTTTCTTTTTTTAATCAAATTATTCAATATACTTAAATTTATCAAAACAAATTCAAAAGACTAAAAGTGACTTAACCTCACTCAAATATTTTTGCCACTTGACTTTTCAATTTAAAACCTTTTCTCAAAAAGATTAGATATAAATCCTCTTTATAGTTGAGATATTATCTCTTATCCCTATAGTAATTATTGAAGTAAATATGATTCTTTCCACATGAAGACGTTAGTTGGAAACTTATTGATCTTTACATCCAAGTTAGTAGCGCTTCCTTCACGATGATGCAAGATCCATCTTCTCATACTTGTGGTGGTATTAGTTGAGTTTTCTCTCTAAAAGATGATGAAATATATTTTCTCCTAAAATCAACACCAACAAACTATTTTGTTATTTTTACCACGAACTATGAGATTTTGATCCTTAATTGCTACGTAGGTATAAGACTATGTATTTCCAAAAAAAAAATCCTAAAAAATATTTCTTTTCCCATCCACACTCATTTTACAAACAAACAATTTTAACCAAAACAAATATTATATGTGGTTCCTATAGAGTACTATAGATACATATGGTGCTAATATCTTCCCTTTGTATAACCAACCCCAATACCTTGGGTCTCTTCCTTATAATTTGCTTTTAGTCTATACTTATTGCATTGCATGTTAAGAAATAAGGTTTAGATCTTTTCCTTTTTTATTGGAAACAATAAAGTTCGGTGGTGACTTCTTAAAATCTTTGTGAGTCAAGTTCCTCAATAGCTTGGTCTCCCCGATTTTCCACCGCAACAGAAATGGCGACTTCACTGGGGATGTGTATCCTCAAGAGGGTTAAACCTAGTTTATTTTATCTGTTTTATTATTATTGTTTGTTTTTTCTATGTGTTATTTTATGGTTCCATAGGTATTGGTGTTTTGCAAAGGACAAATCCTACACTCGGATTAAAGTAACACTTAAGAATTAAAATGGTGGTATAATCAAAAGTTACATGACTGGAGTAATCCTAGCATAAGTAGCATATGATATAACTCCACTCAGTGGAGGCCTCCTTGGGGTGTTAATGCTAAAACAAGTCAATTGTTAAAGCATTACTGCTTTCAACCTGAGACGGATATGGGCACATATAAATATATCAAAGATATATGTCTGGTATGGATGTTGAACACACATCAAGAAGAGACAGATATACATGCTCGGTAAGGATGTTGGACACATACAAAGATATTTAGGAGAGAACGCTTGAATCAAAAGCAAACTCGAATATACATGCCTGGTAAGGATATTGGACACATACAAAGATATCTGGCAGAGAACGCTTGAATCAAAAGCGAACTCGAATATACATGCCTTGTAAGGATATTGGACACATACAAAGATATCAATAATATATGTTAGATAAGAATATTGAGCATACATCAGGAAGAGACTGACCAGAACAGACTCTAAATAGGGATCACCTGAATCGAAGGAGAACTCAAACATACATGCCTGGTAAGGATATTGGACACATATAAAGATATCTGACAAAGAACGCTTGAACCAAAAGCAAAACCAAATATACATGCCCGGTAAGGATATTGGACATATATAAAGAAATCAACGATATATGTTCGGTAAGAATATTGGACATACGTCAGGAAGAGACTGAAATGAACAGACTCTAAATAGAGAACACCTGAATTGAAGGCGAACTCGAATATACATGCCCAATAAGGATATTGGACACATATAAAGATATTCGACAGAGGACGCTTGAACCAAAAGAGAACTCAAATATACATGCCCAGTAAAGATATTAGACATATATAAAGATATCAATGATATATGTTTGGTAAGAATGTTGAACACATATCAAGAAGAGATAGATATACATGCCCGGTAACGATGTTGGACACATAAAAAGATATCTGGAAGAGAA